AACAACAACAACAACAACAACAACAACAACAACAACAACAACAACAACAACAATAACAGCATCAACAATAATATAATAATGGCAATATTTGTACTTCTACTACTAATAATAAACGAACAAACAAACAAATACGCATCGCGAAATAAGCAGGGCGCCTGAATGTTTCTTTATTTAGGACTTTAGCTACTACACTCCACAACTGTTCTAAATACAAGAATATTCAATCCTGTGGGTAAAAACTCAGGAACTAGAAATCTGTTCACTATGTACCTGTTTCCAGGTGTGTTTCACTATATGCGTGGTGTTTCGCTTTGTGCGAGGTGTTTCGCTACATGCGTATTTCGCTGCGGGTTTGCTATGTTAGTGTTCGCTTTGTGTGTGCTAGACTTTTTTCCACAACAGAATAAACAGACTTAATAACAGCATCTGTCTCAATATGAATTCATCATCATCATTGCCTTTCTCACTCTGACCAGGGTATAGGCCACGGGCAAACACCTTCCACTTTTCTCTATCCTGGGCTAGCCTCTTGATGTTATTCCATGTCTTCCCACTTTTCTGTATATCAATATGAATTAGTACTGGCAAATATACCCAAATTGAAGATTCTCAGAAGTGTACTGTGAAAGAGCAAAGTAGTTGTCAAAGCTGTTGAGGAAAGCGTATTGGTCATTGTTTCCTGCTGTCAGAGGTTGACCGCCAGAGGTTATTGTGTCGGACAAGGCAGTGTTGGTACACACCCACTGCCACTCCTGGAAAGAACTCATGTACCTGAAATGAAAGACAGAGGAATATATTTTGTTGAAAACGTCTTTCTAGTCTCAGGATTATACGCGGTGCCCATTCGCAGGATCGGTCAGTTTGGTTTGGTTCGGTTCGGTTTGGTAGTAAAGTAAAGTAAAGTTGTTCCCGCATCCGATCCGGACACTGGGGATTGCCTTGTTAGTAAGACAACTTCCTGGGCCTTCGGCATAATATTGTGGTAGGGTGGCCAGTTCCTTTCCACGCTGCCTTTACTTCCCTAACTCGAAGTCAGGTACCCATTACTGCTGGGTGAGCAGGAGGGGGCGAAAAAAATCCGTGTCCGAACCGAGGCTCGACCCAGGACTTTCTGCTCCGGAGACGAGCACACTAACTGCTCCGCCGAGCTTTAAGATGAATAAAATACCTTCACATGACATGTCCAAAATTTATTAACGAGTGCCTGATTTCTTTGCTTTGTGACACATCGCGACCTCAGTGCTTTCTTGTCCTATCTCCATTTTTAATAACAGTGAAAACATTTCATAACAAAGAGTGAGCTTAAGAAGAAGTCATAATGTCAATGTTTTAAAAAATGGAGATAGGATAAGAAAGCGCTGAGGTTGCGATATAATATGTGTCACAACGTGGTGGAATCAGGCTCTCGTCCTTTTTTGGGCATATAGAGCTATTGGTATCATCTTATGAAAGCTTATGCATTTATCTTGCTTTGGAGGAAAACATAGCCATTTATCTTTAACACGAGTTGAGGTATTTGCAAATGAAGGAGATGGGGGTCACCTCGTTTCAGGGGTAAAATTAGTTAGAAAATGTCCGACAAAGATTAGTTATTTCCTTAGCTTGAGAGTCAGTGGAAACTGAAAATTTACATATTTTGTGCCTTAAATCAACGTTTGTTTTTCAGTAAAATCCACATAGAAATTTGTTCTTTTATGGGCAAGAAAGGTGTTTAGGCCAAAAAACTAAAATTCGATAAAAATTTAAAAACCTGCAGAAAAATGCCAGTTTCTTCACTTTGATTATTATGACAATCGCCTGATTTCACCATGCTGACTCGCATATTATACTACACGCGCCAACAGTGCGTCGTGATACATAATATTATAATATACAAGAAGCACCAACAATGCCAGTCGTACTTACTGAAGACCAATATGCAGCGTCGCAGGAAGACCATATTCCGTCTCCAAGTACTGACGGAAATCCTCGAACTGCCCATGAGACAAGCACAAGAGATCTCCAGAGTTTTCTTGGCAGGTAAGTCGGGCACTCTCCCAGTCTGTCATCGTCCCATCGACGACTTGAATGCATTTCTGAACCACATCAACCCAGGTGTAAGAACAAAAGAGAGAAGTCGTCGAATCAGAAAAGCCTGACTTCTCGAAGTGAGCGAAACCGTTGAAGGCGGATGGGTTGACGATCGGAGGAAGGACCGTCTGATTGTCTCTGACGTATCTCACTATCACACATTGACTGTCGTTGTAGAAAATGGAGCTGCAAGATGTGTCCAGCTTGCAGGAAATGGCGCAGTCGAAGAGCGACCTTGTTGTTACCGAAGTGCTGTAGTACCCGAACATGGTGCCTGAAGGTTGTTCCAATGCCACAAACTCCGTGCCATTTCTGTGAGGTGGGGTGGATAAAATAAGATTTAAAGACAAGATGAAAAGAGATAAGATAAGATAAGATAAAGAAGGTAATGTAAGATAAGGTAAGGTGAGTAAGGTACGGTAAGGTAAGGTAAGGTAAGGTATTTCATGCAGGGATATATAACTTATTGGTAAAAGTTCAGGATTTGTTCGTCTAAGTCTAACGATGACCAATGCATCTATACAGAAAGCTAATAATCAAGATGATTCATGGCTTCTGCTGTGGCCTATAAGAGAGATCAATTCTGGTCGTGATAATTTAAGGACAGCTCAGAATAGAAACTTCCTTTTGAGTAGTGTTTAATACAATGTGCAAATCATTGATTAAAATTAGGGATTTATAATAGCCATACTGTTGCTCGAAAAGTAATTAGGGATTTAACACCCCTAATAACACTAGTCCGTTATTCAAGAGGCGGGACCTCCGAATTCAACGTCAGTCTCCAATAAAAACAGAGCTAAATGGGTTGAGTGCCTTGAAAACTCCATTAGAACTCCTAGTATGGGATTCAAACCTGATTCATCCGCTCCGTAGTCCAGCATCATATCACCTGAGCTAACAAAGCGCCCTTTTCCCGTTGCATCAGTTTAAGGGTTGGCAGTTGTGTGTAGAACAATCCATGAACATGCGATGCTGCTTTTACGCTTGTATGGAAAAACTGTAATAATTTCAATTTTAACACTTGCTTAGTCTTGCTTGTTCATGAACATCCTTGAGGTGAAGTTTGCGACTATAGAAAACGAAATATTATACAAAACGGAAGGTGTTTTATTTCAAAACTATACGATTAAGATGTAAAGAGACTAAAAGTGGACATAACCAGTGTCACCGCGCCACTTTTTAAACATTCACAATTCTGGGTTCGAAGCGCTAATCCCCAGTCTTAATTAATAGAATCTAAAACAATTTATTAAGGAGCTATGGTAATTAGGAAAACGTCATCTTACTGTGAGAACACTTGGTGGTTTAATGACAAGAAGAAAATCCAGCCAAAGCGGAGGAAACTGAATCTTTTCAGCCCACGTTGATCCAAGACGTTACGAAGAGACATTGTTCTGTCTGGGGAAAAGAGAATACATACTTATTAACAAATAGGATGATTATATTCTAAAGTGGAAACAAATACATGAGAACACAATGATGATGATGATGATGATGATGATGATGATGATGATGATGAGGAGGAGGAGGAGGAGGAGGAGGAGGAT